ACGCGTGGTGATATAACGCGTGCAAATCCAACGCGTGGTGATATAACGCGTGATAATATAACGCATGGAAATCCAACGCGTGGTAATAAAACGCGTGGCAATATAACACGTGAAAATCCAACGCGTGGTAATATAACGCGTAAATTTGTTTCACACAGTTAAATTTCACCCATTTTTCCGATACATTATTCAAATAAAAAGTGAGCCATTCCAAATGCAGAGAACTCGTTCGGCCGCATAAAATCGATCGACATTCGTTTCTTTTCGAGTAAATGTGCTTCTCGCTATCGCTTTCGCGACCGTCATCAAGAATTCGAAGAAATATACCACAAATCGTGAAAGCAGACACCGGTACGTGATCGAAATGTTACAAGTTTGGCACGAGTGTACCAGTAAAAATTCGTGTCGGAACTCAAGTACTATACTTCCATTTATCGTTCATTTATGAAATAGTTATTTCTTTTACACGTAACTCGTGCAAAGCATGATGCTAAAAAAAAGGCGCATCGTGCACTGTTCACAGAACAGGGACTAGAAAAAAACATTTAAAGGTACATGAGTCACTCGGACGTATGAATATGGAAGGTCTGTGCTCTGATCCTTCGGATCTGTCGATCACGTTCGTTAATTGTAATGACGCTTTTTATAATAGACAATTTGCACCGCGTTCTTAATCAAAATCTGCTCACCTTTCGTCTGACGTCTTTTGCGACCGGATTAAGTAAGAACTAGAAATACGTGTTATTTACATGTCTGATCTGAACGGGATAAAAAATAGAAACATACGGGTTCAACATTTCGTATATTACGATATAATCACCCCACACCTTAATGCTGGAATTAAATCGTGCCATAACTAAAGTATATTAGAATTGAATTACAATTCAATCGTCGAACAAAGTTACCACGAATTGAACATCGAATAAAATCACGTGATATCGCGTGAGAGAACATCTTGGCGACCGAACACGCGACGTCGTATTTTGATTTATGAGGCATTAAATGCGTCGACTAATTGTTTTCCTATCATGACCGATACTACATTATTTCGTCACAAATATTTTCTGCTCGGCTTCCATCGTGGCATTATTCATCCTTATCAGCTTATCGGAGATGATTTTTGCGTTTGATCGCGACCAAGCGAGAAAGGAAGTTTACTAGCCTGGACGTTGGTTTCCCCTTTCTTTTTGCTTCCGTTCACCGACTAGGAGAGACATCGAGGTTCGTGGAAGCTGGTGTACGGGAGATCTAAATTTACAACGGCGGACGAACCAGCAGGAATTTCAACTCTCTGCCAGAGGCCCGTTTACTGACCGTGTTCCCGATTATTCCGTAAAAAACCGTCGACTTCCCGCCGGACGTCCCTTATTCGCAAATATTTCACTTGGTTCGCGGACAAAGATCGGTGTTGCTTTTCCCGGCAGTCTAAGAATATACAGTGTTTTACATTTTCACCTCTACCTTGGTGAAAGTTACGTAAAACATGAAATATAGTATGGATCGAGTTTGACGTAAGTGTTTTGTGGTCGATCCGCTCACCGTGACATACAACGCTAAATACTTGCTCATAACCATTATTTCAAAATTTTAAAGCATGCTAATTAATATAATTATCTCGATATCTGATGTGATTAGAACCTTTGTCTGGGGTGGTAGTTTAATTTTACCGCTAGGAATGATCAAGTGGCATTTCAATGTTTGATCAGTTAGGATAAAGAATTGGAAATTTGGGGAATTTGGAAATTTTGAGGATTTGATCATTTGGGAAATTTGGAATCTAGGTAGTTTAAATCCGGAGAATTTAGAACCTAGGGAATTTGTGATCTAGGAAATTCAGTAACTTTGGAATTTGGAATCTAGGAAATTTGGAACGCAAGAAATTCTAAATCTAGGGAATTTGGAATCTGGAAAATTGGGAATTTAGAACCTAGGGAATTTGTGATCTAGGAAATTCAGTAACTTGGGAATTTGGAATCCAGGAAATTTGGAACGCAAGAAATTCTAAATCTAGGAAATTTGGAACGCAAGAAATTCTAAATCTAGGGAATTTTGAATCTGGGAAATTGGAAATTTGGAGAATTTATAACCTAGGGAATTTGTGATCTAAGAAATTCAGTAACTTGGGAATTCAGAATCTAGGAAATTTGGAACGCAAGAAATTCTAAATCTAGGGAATTTATAATCTAGGGAAATGAAATCTAGAGAATTCGTGGTCTAGGAAATTCTATCAGTTGGGCAATTCGGAATTCAGAAAATTTGTAACCCAAGAAATCCAAAATCTAGGGAATTTTTGGATCCCGGGAACTTTCGAGTTTAGGGATTTTGGAATCTAGGGAATTTAGAATTTGAGAAATTCAGGATCTTGAGAATTTGAGGAATTGGAAATCTGGAGAATTTTGAATCTAGGGAATTCGTGGTCTAGGAAATTCGATCACTAGGGCAATTCGGAATCTTTGAAATTTGCAACGACAAGAAACTCGAAATCTAGAGAATTTTTGAACCTAGGGAATTTCGAAGTCCCTATTTCATAGTTACACCAAGAAACTTAATATCACTATGCATTCTTAAAAATTAATTGTAATATCAATATCAGAGATTTTCTAGCTGACGATCTTAATTCTGGTAATTTTCTATAAATATACTCTGCTACCGAGATCTTAAACTGACGTTCAGTTTGTTTTTGTCATTCACGTTCTTGCAGCTGCAACGAGCAAAAAGCAAAGAAACGCGTTCACACAGCGTGAAGATGAAGAAAAAAAAATGTAGAGTTTAAATGGTTTCTCGATCTACTCACTGCAGGCTTTTTGCCAATAGCGCTTGTATCGCTGTAGGACGTAACCTTCATGTAAGGACTGGAAGCGGATATCGGCACGGTGATCATTTTTCCGTCCTTTGACTTCACTCCTTTTTCCCATTGAAAAATCACACGCGTCCTGAACCGCCTCGTTCACCTTTTCCCACGAACAATCAAAATCTGGCACGTTTTCACGGTCACTTCCGGCGACACGAATTTTCTGGGAAATCAGAGTAGCTTCTCCTTGACGATGACAAAACGGTAATTTTCAATGACAAGATTATTATGTTTCCTCTCGTTTCGCACGACTCTGCGATTCATTTGATAATTTCGAATTCTTTATTTATCATCGAAAGTTTCTTCGAACGATGGATATTTCCTGTATAAAGGAATTCTTTTTCAACCCTCGAAGACGATGTAAAAGAATTTTATTTTCGTTAGATAATGTAATCTGTAATTGTCATGTCTTCCACTTGGATCAGGTGTATTTTCAATCTTCAAAATTCTGAAGTTTCCAAATTAATAAATTTTCAAATAAGTTTCAAAACGTTCCATCAAAGAACCTAGTAATTCCTCATTTCCCTACGCCGCCATTTTCCCTAGAAAGTTCACGGTACCAGTCCTCTAGGGCTCGAAGGCTGTTTAATAGTCGATACACGTTTCGTTAAAAAGCCTAATTCCTGAATTTCCACAGCGACGAGTAACGGTGAACTTTTACACGGTCCATTCAACCGTTCCGAACCGTACAGAACGTTCACACAGTCTGCGATAAAAACGTATAATCTTCCCACATAAATCCTATCAAATTTTATTCCAATTTGCAACTATTTTAACACTACCCCGAAAAAGCAATTTTAGCAATATTCGGATATTTAAAAACGGAACGTGGAATAGCGACCGTCCCGTTTCGAGGCAAGTAGCGCACTGACTTAATCGTAAAATATGTGCAAAGTGCACGCGAATTGTTCTAGCACCGAAACGACGTTCGTTTTCGATCCAACGGACGACGTGTATAACACCTTTACCGACGGACGAACAAACATCGACTGACTCGTAGAGCGCCTCGACGCTCAAGGAGAAAACAGAATGGACCTCTCCACTTCTTAGTCGTCCCCCCAGGTAACGCGCCGCTGAATTATTCTTACACGAAATAAGGTTAAGAGGTTCTCTGACATATGATCGATCTGAGGCTACCGTTACCAAACATCTACTTGTATCATTATTAATTGATCGATCTCGCAGTTTATTACCCGCCTTTGTTTACCCCTTGTGACGTCACTGTTTGTTGCCCGTCATTCACTGTCCATGTAGACCTCTAAGGCTTTGACACGACTTTAACAAATTACCGAGCTAACCTAACCGAGTACATCCTACATTTTTTTAATCAAGATTTAGAATTTGGAATTATTATATTTTCCAACTTAGGAAACTTGAAAATTCATATTTTAGTCCTCAGGTCAAATTCCCAAGGTCTATGACCTTTCTCTAAGTCTATGAAATTCTCCATATTCGGATAATCATTTTAAATGACCCTACTCCAAAATTAAAATGCATATCTGTTGACAAATCCCCTTTGTACGCATTCGCCCAATAGCAGAAATTTTCCTGGCGCGTTCGCTCGATCAACAAATTTAATTGCACACATCATTCTGTTTATGTAAACAAATGGTAACGTCGTGCATAAGCAAATTCTTAACAATTTGTTGTTTCCGATGTTGCGAAATTATTTACAACGCTCAGCGAAAGTTGTGCCGAATTTCTTACATTGGTTTCACACTGACGCATAACGTTCCCTAAAAGTTCCGATCGAACACGCATCTCGTTTCACTTGTAAATTGCGTGACTGGTGGGCAGTAAGGTTGTGTAAAATGTTACGAGCGCTGGCATGCGCTAGAAGCTTGAAAATCAAAACGAGAATGATAAATAGTGGCCAAAGTCTTGTAATACGAATAAAATCACCCCGAAACGAATAACACGATCGATTCGCGCGCAACTGCTGTTCTGAAATGTTTGTAATCAAGCGGCATGCGGTAATTGTTTACTGCACGACGTGACCGAGATTTCGTTGCGTTTATCGGCGGACTTAATTGCAGATATGTTGTACGCTGAAAATAAGAGTTTCCTTTTCAATGTCATCGCTTGTTGTCATCAACGCTTGCTGTTGTAATCATTGTTGAAAGTAAATGTTGTTTTGCAACTTCGGAATTTTGGAAAGATTGGTGAAAATTAGATTTTGTATCATTGGCAATATTTCAATTTTGACGTTTTGGGATGCTTGGAAAGTTTTGGGAAGCACGTTGGAAAATTTGGAGATTTTATTTTGAAGACTATGGGGAGGAAATTGAGAAATTTTATAATAATGGGAATTTTAATAATTTTGGGACTTTAGAAGACATTAATTTATTTTATCGGAAAATGTCGTAACTGATATAAAGATGAAATAAATGATATATTTCGTAATTAGAAGAAAATGCGGAAAAAAGCAACGGGAGGCGGTTCTCCCCCGTAAGGATTCGAACTGATGAACCTCAGATTAGCAGGCAGATACTCATCCACCGCGCCAATAAATCAACCAAGATTCTCCCTCGCAATTGTTCTTATTAGTCTGGAAATCCCGACAATATAATATTTATATATTTCGCATAAATATCATTATTTTTTGCAAACCTATAAATTGCAACGTATACAATGAGATTTACATAACTGCTTCTGATTTCATGGTTATTATTCTTCTCCGTTTCGCGTAAATTCTATCTTAACGATCTGCAAGTCAAATGCATCGATCATCTCATGTTTTCATTTCGCCGAAGACGTGTCAGCGTCTATTTCATCTCGAAGGATGTATCCACGTAACATACCGCCGTGAAATCTCGGTAACAGATTTAATGAAACTCGCTCTGTAATCGAGAGATGTGTATCAAAACACCTGTAAATTACTTTTACTCCTGGGGCGCTGAAAATTGGCAAAAACACAGCGGTCCGTCAGTAGGCAGTTATCTCGTATTTTTAGAATCGTTGATTCGACGGAGTTCGCCTCTCGAACTATTTCGGTAGCCTTGTATTTTATCGATGCGTCGATATAGCAGATGGACGTCACCATTTCGAGCATCCTCTCTTGACTTCCATTTAACTGTAATTTGCAGATTTTACGAGCTTCGAATGTGGCCTTCGCTCATGGATCACTGAACTTGAACGTTTCGAGCACATTTTTAATTCGGGAAGATAGGGATATTTAATAGGTTTACTAGTGCTTGATGTACTGATCGTTACTGGATACACTCGATATCGCATTCAACTATATATTAATAAAACAACGAGTACATCTCGATGATGGTTCCAATAAAACGATGATCAAATCGACCAAAACATTTAACTTCATTCTTACATAATATTATGTTGATAGTCTGAATAAAAGTAAAGTCGAAGTTTTCTTCTCAGACTGTAGAAGCGCGCACAGAAATGATTTTCTCACGATTCACCGGCGAAGAGGAAGCAATTAATTTAATTCCGAGGCGATTAAAAATATTCATGAGGTGTAACAATTTTTACGTAAGTACTCGATTGTTGGAAATGTGGGCCAAAACTTCGTTTCATCGGGTGGTCAATGAAAAATAACCAGATTGATTGTACAGTCTACTGATGTTATGTCATCGTTTATACGTCAGTTATTCGTGTCGTTTGATGGAAGAGCAATTTTCGTTGCAGATAATCGCGACGCTAATTATCGCGCCTACCGATGCACTCGCTTCGCCACAAGGACTTCGGATTCTCCTTCCTCGTCCAAGCGTCGTAAACGTTTTTCGCTAGCAGCGCTCGTTAAACTTCGATTAAACGGACCACGTGAGAAGCACTCACGTGAGCTATTAATCGCTTCCTAATTTAATTGGATCCTTTTGTCTGTTCGTGAATGTCTCGCGAGCGACAATACCCAATTATAGAGGAAATTCGATAGAAAGGTGTACGGAGGGTACTCTAGCGTGAATTGAACGTGAAAACACACCTGGCAACGTCCTCGAATTGTATAACAGTGAAACTTGCGATTAATTATGAGATTATGATACATTACGAGTAAAAATTTTCATTTTACTGAATTAGAGTACTACTAGTAAATTAATTCGGTATGTGATAAAATTAGGTATTAACCTAATACACCATGTAAAGTTAGGTCAAGTTTTCATATTCAAATATAGTTAGATTAGGTTAGGACTAGATTATGGTTAAATTAGAGTAAAAATATTAAATTATGTTAGGTTAGATCATTAAAATCTGTTAAGTTAAGTTAGGTTGTATTAGAATTACAATAAGTTAGGTTAGATTGAAATTATATAGGTTAGGGTAGTTTGGGAACATAATTGGTTAGATAAGGGTTAGGTTCGATTAAGGATATAGGTTAGGTGAAGTTAGAGTTATAATTGATTAGATTAGGTCATGTTAAGGTTAAAATAAAAAGGTTAGGTTGGATTAAGGATATAGGTTAGGTGAAGTTAGAGTTAAAACTGGTTAGATTAGGTCATGTTAAGATTAGAATAAAAGGGTTAGGTTGGATTAAGGATATGGGTTAGGTGAAGTCAGAGTTATAATTGGTTAGATTAGGTCATGTTAAGGTTAAAATAAAAAGGTTAGGTTGGATTAAGGATATAGGTTAGGTGAAGTTAGAGTTATAATTGGTTAGATTAGGTCATGTTAAGGTTAAAATAAAAGGGTTAGGTTGGATTAAGGATACAGGTTAGGTGAAGTTAGAGTTATAATTGGTTAGGTTAGGTCATGTTAAGGTTAGAATAAAAGGGTTAGGTTAGATTAGCATCATAAGGTGGTAGACGAGGTTAACATCATTAAGGGGTAGGTTAGATGAACATCATAAGGTGTTAGGTTAGTTTAACATCATTAAGGGTTAGGTTAGATTAGCATCATAAAGGGTTACGTTAGATTAGGTTCGTTAAAGATTTGTGGATTACATTTCTGCGTACGAAAAAAAATTAATTGAACTAATTGATTTCTGAGAACTGGTTCTACTGAGGTAAGATGAGATGAGCGATTAGGTTATATGACGCAAGGTGAGCATAATTGTGGGTACCAGTTTGCGCAACGTTTATCAGTGCGTTATCAAGGAGTTGTAGCTTGTGTGGTCGCGGTAACACTATCCCGGAGCTACCCTGTCATTGGAATGCAATAAGAATACTTGCTCGTGCCAATGAACCGTGAAGTGTCCTTTCATTTTGTTTCCCTATTGTATTACATAATCGCGATAATTGCATCCGTTAGGATCCTGTTGCGACGTACAATGACACGGGATCATATATTATTCGCGCTGCCACTTATAACGGATCGTCCTCGTACAATTATTTCGAATGAATCTCAAATATCCAAGAAACGTGGAACATTCTTCTAGGAGTGCATTTCGAGACAACTGTACAACGTAAGATAAGCTGTCATTTGGTAGTTCTGTTAGAAATGAAATTTTTCGCAAGTTAACTCTTTGTACTTCAAGATATTTTACCTGACTGCAGATAACAGTTGTAAAACTCTCCAAAAGGAAAAATTGGACAAATTTTCTTTGAAGTTGTTATTCTACTACTAGCTGCCATATTGTCCACATTACTAAGTCTACGTACCACACATAAGATTATAAATTTAGTTTAAAAGTTTTTACTCACGTTAAACCGAGCGGTGCATATGAAAAGGGTGAAAATATCTCGTCTAATATTTTCTTCGTTTTTCGTCAACAAGTACACCAAAGTTTGTGCACGCTCCGGAATACCTTTATCCGTTTTTAGAACAATGAAAGCATAGTTATAGTCCTCGGACAACCTAGGCATTTCCGTATTTTCTTTCCTTAATGAAAATATCACAAAACAGAATCGCCATTCTTTCGCGTGAGCGAAATAATAATAAAAGAATACCGGTTGCCTGTTTGCGTCCGTTATAATAACCTGAATTTCAGCCTCAACTTCTTGGGGCGCTTGAAATTTATTCAACATCGATCGATGTTTAAGCTTGTGATGTTACATCCACTCGGAAGATTCAGAATT